CCCTACACTTGTAAGGTTAGTCAACAAGGCTGTTGTCTGACAAAACCCATGCTTCGATACCCCTTGTTATCAATAACTGATTGAAATCTTTCCACAATAAAACCAGCTCTAGCTTGTTTATTTTTAAAGGGGCCTCTGTTAGCCCCTGAGTATATCATTCTGTCAATGAGCTAGATGGTAACAAGAGGTTCTGGTTTTACTGGCTTTTGCATAGGCTCTGAACAGCTGCACAGCATTAGGAGTGCCACCATCACTGTATCCACCATTTTCCACTGGATCACTCATGGCCTCTCTTTCTTTCAGTTACATGTCTCTTTACTCAGAAATATTAACACATCCAGGCCACAAATACATTTATCAATGTAATTAAATACATCTCTATCCCATGTCCAGGTGTAGAAAGGGTGCAAGTGAGGATCCAAGATAACAGTAGAAGTCAGATGCTGCTGCAGTTACCCTGTCACCACCTTCTCATTCACATTATTTACAGAAGGAGGTTGAAGGCAAGACTGGTAAATTCATTAGTGTCAAACCACATTTTTGAGTGATAATGGATCTATCTTTTTTTTTTGCCTGTTGCTTAAACTGAGTGATAGAGGCAGAAACTCCCTTCCTGCTATGAAAGGTAGATTTCTGTTGCAGGAGAAAAATAGCACTTTAACTTTACAAGCCACCGTATCACTCAGCATTTTAATTTTTTTTTATGGTGTCTGAGGTACAATACATCAGATTTGTCTGGTAACTTGTTCTTGAAACTGCCTGTATCAGAGACACCACCTAACAGATGGGCTGAGACAAAGCTGGAGATGCACAGAAAGAAGTTCTTGGGAAAAGTGTTAAAGATTTCAAGGTGGAGGGAACCAAAAAGAGATGTCGCTGATGAGTCTGTGCATGAAGGATGGCTTGATTTCTCTGCAAAGTCAGATTTCACTGAACATTGGTTAACACACGAGTCCTCTTAAAACACTACTGACACAGTTTTAAGCTTTTTATGTATTTTAGGGAAATAAACTGAAAATCTGACCAACTCATTCAAAGTCTGCATGAAGATATAGAAAATTATACAGACTAACAGGAACCATAACTTTACAAGCCATACACTAGCAACTAGCATTCCTCAAGGCCAGAATTTTAAAAGCTCTGTTCTACATCAAGTCCGATTCACTATCATTTACTACAGTATCATTTATGTGTCTTCAGGTTAACTCTGGTGAGATTGGAAATGAAGTTTCCTCTCAGTGGGAAGGCCTCCCATCCCTGCAGCTCGCTGATGAGGACTCCAGACTCTTTGCCTTTTACAATCTGCTGCATTGCCTCCGCCGAGATTCCCACAAAATTGACAACTATCTCAAGCTTCTGAAGTGCCGCCTAATCCATGATAGCAACTGTTAAATACCCATAGGCCTAATCACTTACTGAAATAATTCATCACGGTGTTCTTGTTGCTTTGCCACTTCTCATTGCAAACTTCATGAAAATCCATATTGCACAGCATCAGGATCATCAGCATCTTTCAGGCATGTTTGTGTGAATTCTGGCTGCAACTATTATCGCCATTTATCTGGGTGTTTTAAAATATTATAAATTACCTATGTGACAAGAATACACTTTTCTGTCTAATCTCCTCACCTAGTAGTACTTCAGTGATAACCAGATCATGCAGATACAAATAAAAATGTTATTAAATCCAAAAGTGCATAGTGGTATCAGTGAATGAAAAATAGCTGGCGTGGTTTATACCTTTAGCAGTAGTTTCTCTTTTTGGATCTCAGTCTCCAGTTACTGATAGGATATCTTACTTCCATTGCT